GTGAGTGAGTGTGTGTGTGTGTGTGTGTGAGTGAGTGTGTGAGTTTACCCTTTAAGTAACAGAATTGACAGAATTGATAAGTCTTGCTGTAAGAACTTTTTAGATTAAAGTATGTTCTCAGAGAGAGAACACAGACTTTTCAGTGCTTCAGAGCTCATCAGTGAGGGGCCGTGACGTCATTTCCTGCCTCTTACATAGTTATGTTACATAATTACACTAATTTAAAGTTGAAGTATGGTACGGTAACAAGATTTATGGACACACATTTTTATAAGAAAAAAAGTTATTTTTAAACAATTTAATGTTGTAGAATTAAGAAAATGACTATTTAGGGCTTTTATAAATAATGAAACATTACCAAAAAGAAAAGTAAAACAAAATATTTTGATTACACAATGACTTTCATCTGTATAAGACACTTTTTTCAGAAAATATTATATAGTTATGGCCTGTTAAAGATGTGTTTTGTCTTCTCTGTCACTCAATCAGTAGTACTTTAGTGCTTAATGGCACTGACTGAGCGTATTTGCTACAGCAGTCCCTCTATGATCCTGATCCTGTCGCAGAAAGTGTTGTTCGTCCGTGTGAGCGCTAGATGGCAGTCAAACCCTTCTGCTGCAGCTCCACCTGCCCATTGGCTCATACTTTATTTGGTATTCATTAAAAACAACATACATTACCCGAAAGCCTATGCACGACTTGTTGGATATTTATTTGATATGTGATAAATCTTGTGATGTGATCATTCTTAGTGACTGTAGTGTCAATGCACTGATGCCTGCGGCTGTTTTATAACTTCTGGACGTAAACATGGATGAACATGACTGTGACGCACCAATAAAAACAAACGCCGCAGCGCATCACGGGAAATGGAGTTTTATGTTAAAAAGGCGCACATCGGATTTCTCGCAGAGTTTATTAATATTTCACATTGGAAAATAAAGGATGACAGCGACGCGACTTTAGCGACTCCCAGCGTGAATATCAAGTCAAAAATACTAACATATGCACATGTTTGATGAGTTTGAACGATCCAAAACAGCAGGTCCGGGGGGGCGTTAGCTGGTTTTTATTCTCGCGAGACTTGCGTGAAGCGTCCTCGCTCTTTTTATTTAAAGAATATACAAAAAGTAGTAAACTTGCAAAAGCAAACGAGGAAATTGTTTTAAAAACACACACACACAATACCAGCACTGAATAAATCCAACGCCTCCTTGTTCCCTGACACAAATCTCTGAAGCGTCAGCCTGAGGACGTGAACTCTCGCGATGGTTTGCAATTCCTGCGAGCTTACAGTGACGTCTCTTCCCCCTTCTTATATTTATTATTATTATTTGAATATGCAAAGAACAGTACAAATATACGCTGGAATACCACTAGAAATGCCAGGCTGTAATAAAAACACCGTTCCGGTTCTCTTCTGCTTTCCTTTCAGGTTTCAGGGCGACGTGAACTCTCGCGAGATTTGCGTCGTCCGCTTTCAGACTCCATGATCTGCTGCCGAGCGGCGCGCCGCGATCATCCCCGCGTGCGTACATGACGCCCCTCCGCGCGTCGAGCGGCGCTCATATCTCCGCTCAAATGGACTAAGAGTGATCTCGTGAGGATGGAGAGCGTTAAACTGAAGAAGAGCAGCGCTCTGAGTGTGGCCTTGAGATCCACAGCAGACCACAACGATGAAGAAGAAGACGATGAAGGCCAGAGAGCGTCAAACCCCCGTCAGACGAGCTCAGACGAGCCGCGGACCCGAACCCAGAGCCCAGCCGAGCTCAGTAAAGCCTGCAAGAGCAGCTCCAGTCTGCTGCTGAGGAAGAGGAGGGTAAAGAGGCATGTGTCCAGCATCAGCTCGTCTCATAGCCGGAGTCAGATGCTGCTGAGACACAGAGCCAGTCCTCAGCTGCAGCTGTCCGACCGCCAGTGGGTCCGCCAGGACCTGCGCCGTGGCTCCGTACACGTGCACGACCGGCTGCTAGTGCGGTCTCAGCCGGCCCAGCCCGTTCTGTGCACCGTGGAGAGCTCAGCGGCCGAGATAGCCCAGCGCCTGCAGCAGGCCAGCGGCAAATCAGGCTCGGTCCTGAGGCTGAACACCAAGAGCAACCTGTCTAACGGGAACTGCGACGGCGAGTACCCACTTAGACACCTTCACACAGGGGCCGAGAGCCTCCCGGACCAGCCCAACGACCGGCTGCGGCTCCTGCTGCTGGGGAAGGACCATCAGTACCAGCAGCAGGAGTACGACATCTACACACCCTCCAAAGTGGACCGCGGGTCCCCACAGGACGAGGACTCCGTCAAGAGGTCCGCGGGCTCCGATGTGGAGAGCAGCAGCGCTTGCGACGACCTGAGCTCCGGGGCCCGGTTCAGCCAGCACCGGGACTCGCTCAGCGACGACATGATCCTGGGCACGGAGGCCTCGGCGTTCGACAGCAGCGCCGCCGAGGGCCTGGACACATACGGCAGCTCCTCGGACGAGCTGGAGCTGGACTGTGCAACAGGGCCCATCCTGCCGGACCCCGAGACGGATGAAGCCGAAACACCTGCCGCCGGGAGCAGTCCGGACGAAGCGGTCACAGATTCGGACTCCAGCCCGGTGCTGTACGTTCAGCTGCACGGCGAGGCCGCCCGGCGTCTGGGGCCCAATGAGAGGCCCCTACAGATTCAGAACGACTTTCTCTTTAAACTGGGATTTAAAGACCCGTGGCGGGTCCAGGAGGAGGGGATGAACACTGAGCTGGGATCACTCCTGCGCTTCTACGCAGGTAAACAACAGCGCTTATGTGTGAGAGTCGTGAGGCAGGTGTTTACATCGGCCCCCGTACACGAGGAGTTTGCTGTCAGCTGATGTTATGTGTTCACAGCAAACGCACCTCTGAATTTAGAGTAAAAACACTGATCGTGGCTCACTGTCTCGGTCTGCTGTTGGCTGTGTGCTCAATCCCTTTTAAACCTCCCAGAGGAGAATGTTTTGCTCTCTGTTAGGTTTATTTAGTGTCAACATTTGTCTCGCGTGCTTCTCCAGAAATTCCTGTGAAGAACATAAATGAGGTGCTATCTGAATCTGAGAAATATTTGAGTTCATAGTGAGATCCCTGAGGCTTATTCGCAGACTTTGGCACAAAACAAACAGAGAATACATGTGCATGCAGAAGATTTGACACGAGTGCAGGTGATGTCAGGATCAAGCGGATGTTATACTGCATGTGCATGTGTTTATTTACTTACTTTACAAATGAATAACCTTGCAAATTTGACTTTACAGAAGTGTTTACAAACCTCACGAACACAGAATACATGTGCATGCAGAAGATTTGACACGAGATATCAGCTCTCTGTCTGAGTGATGTCAGGGTCAAGCGGATGTTATACTGCATGTTCATGACAAAAATAGTGCAACAATCCTCGATTTATATACTTATTGTAAACAGAACTTGCTAAATGAATAACCTTGCAAATTTTGCTTTACAGTAATGTTTAGAAACACACAGAACGCGTGTGCATTCAGTAGAGTTTGCGTGAGAGATCAGCTCATGTAGCGTCGCTGTGGCGGTGTGGTGAATGCATGTCAAACCTGAGCCTCCAGTCGCTGTCTTTACAACTTTGTAAGAGCAAGCATGCATTCACAACGATCCTGCATGTTTATGTTCCCATGGATCTCTCTCTCTCTCTCTCGCTCTCTCTCTCTCTCTCGCTCTCTCT